AGTGTAAGGCTTCCACTGCATGGAGCAAATCTCCCCTTAGGTCCACATCATGAGTTACACCCAACTCCAAGTGCTTGGCTAGAGCCACTTCCAAAGCGTCTTCGCCATCTAATTCGAAAATTTCCTGCACAAAAGACTCAATAACACTCAAAGCAAAGACCGAGTTAGATTCTTCTGCGTACTTCATCGCCTCAAAAATATTGAAATTCACAGTTTCACCATCAAATTCCATTGACAAAGTACCCTCATTCACATCTATCTTAGCCCTGGCAGTGCTAAGAAATGGTCTACCTAACAAGATAGGTGATGGGCTTAATGATTTCTCATCTCCCATGTCCAAGATATAAAAATCTGCAGGAAAAACCAATTCATTTACCTGAACCAAGACATCCTCAACTAGCCCCTCTGGATATGCATTTGTGCTGTCAGCTAGTTGGATTATGATGGCTGTTTCTTTAAGTGGCCCAAGATTTAGAGAAGCAAAAATAGTCTTTGGCATCACATTGATTGACGCCCCTAAATCTAACATTGCTTTCCTAATCGGTGTATTCCCTATCTTACAGGGGATCGCGAACATACCTGGATCTCCACACTTGGGTGGGAGTTTTCTTTGGAGCATTGCTGACACATTCTCTCCCACTGCTACTCTCTCATCCCCTCTCAGTTTCCTCTTATGGGTGCACAGATCTTTGAGAAATTTAGCATATTTCGGTATCTGCTTGATTGCATCCAGTAAAGGGATGTTAATTTCCACCTTTCGGAACACATCCAAAAGCTCTTTTTCCTTCTCTACCTTTTTTGTCTTCTCCAGCCTGCAAGGAAAAGGAGGTAAGTTAGATTTAATAGTGGGCGGAGAAGTGAAGGTTACCTCAGGATCCTTGCGAATACGCCCTTCCTCTTCAATTTCCTTCTCTATCTCCTCCTCACTCTTGCTTTTTGAATTTCCCTCTTTCGGCCCTTCCAGTGTCTTGCCACTCCTCAGGGTCATGGCACTTACATTCCTGGGGTTTATTTCGGGTTGTGAAGGTAACTTTCCATAAGCATGGGACTCCAAGCGATTTATGGCAGTTGCCATCTGGCTTATTCGAGTCTCCATATCTTTCATGCCTGATTTTGTGTCCTGCTGGAACTGGTTGGTGCTCATGGTTAAATCTGTAGTTTCTTGCTGGAGTTGAGCCATATTTGTGGTCAATGACCTGGTCTCCTGCTGGAACTGTCTAGTCTCTTGCTGAATCTGGGCGGTAGTCGTAGCCAGACTCTTGACAATATCCTCCAAGGAACTCCCTGTGTTGGAGGATGATGGTTGTGATTTCGGTTGCCACGGTTGCTGAAATCCTGGTGGACGATTCGGAAATGAATTTTGTTGCCTGTTCCCATAGCTGAAATTGGGATGATCTCTCCAACCCGAATTGTACGTGTTGGAGTATGGATCATACTGCCTACGAGGCGCGGGCACGCCTCCAGCCATGTTCACCTGCTCCGCCCCGTCCTCTTGCAAAATGAGGCACGTGTCCGTGCAGTGGCCCATGCTAGTACAGATCCCACACACCTTTGCTCGCGGTGTTTCTCTCATGGCTAGTTGCCTAACAACCGATGTCAATTCTGACATTTGCTGTTGTAGGGATGAAATCTCTACCTCATTGACTTTACGGCGAGGGTTGCTCTCACGGAAGCCAAATTGCTGGGAGTTCTCTGCCATGGCTTCGATGAGCTCCCACGCTTCCCTCGGTGTCTTGTTCGCTAGTGCTCCCCCACTCGCAGCATCAATGATACTCCTATCTGTTGGTTGGAGCCCTTCATAGAAGTACTGGATTAACAGTTGTTCACTAATTTGATGCTGCGGGCATCTAGTGCACAACTTGTTAAACCTGTCCCAGTATTCATACAAGGACTCACCAGGATGTTGTTTAATACCGCAGATTTCTTTCCTCAAACTCGCAGCCCGGGATGCAGGGAAGAATTTTTCTAAGAATTTCTTTTTCAGCTGCGCCCATGTGGTAATACTACCTGCTGGTAGGTAGTACAGCCAATTTTTAGCTGCATCTTTGAGAGAAAACGGGAAGGCTCTCAGTCTAATTTGCTCTTCAGTGACCCCAGGAGGTTTCATACTAGAGCATACTACCTCGAACTCCTTGACGTGCTTGTGGGGTTCTTCACCAGATAGACCATGGAAAGAAGGTAGGAGGTGAATCAACCCCGACTTCAGTTCAAAAGCAGTATTCTCAGCCAAAGTGGGGAATGTGATGCATAAGGGCTGGTGAGTCAGCTCCGGGGCAGCCAGCTCCCTCAATGTTTGGTTGTTGGCCATGCTTACTTCGTCTTCCGCTGACTCGTTTGTAGCAATTAAGTGCCCTTGTTTTCGTCTCTTGGTCTCTTGCCTCCGCTTATGCGCTGCCTTCTCAACCTCCGCGTCGTATATCAATTCACCTGTACGAGAAGAACGGGGCATAAACTAGCAAAAGTATCAAGAAGAATAGAATAAAATAAAAATAAAAATAAAAATTGAATTTGAAAAGAAACAAATAATCCAAACGCCAGCTCCCCGGCAACGGCGTCAAAAATTGACAGGTGCCGAACTTGTGCAATAATAACTACTAAAAAGTCCTAATTACCACCTCAATTAAATAATTATAGAACAAATCCAAGTACTGGAGCAGGGACCCTAGGTGTGCAATGGGTTACTTGATTCACCCTGTTCCCGAAGAGTTTGCTTGATCCGATATACCGGATTCGTCTATAAAAATACTAATTTTGCGTACAATGGCAAGTAGGATCGATTCCACAGGGAGCAGGTAGGAAATTATTTCTTTCCAAATCAGCAGAGCAAAATTGGGGGATTTTCAATGGGAGAGAAATAAATAAAATAAAAGTAAAATAAAAACAAAGCGAACTAAATTCAAAACCAACTCACAAAGCACAAGTCACTAAAAATAGCAATTAATAAGATTCCACCCAAAGGATTAACTGCTCAGGCACGGTCTAATTAAATGATCATCGATGCAAAGATATTTCCTCCATTTATCACTAGGTTGGTTATAGCTATCAATAAGCTCTGACAACCAGCTCTTCCTTACCTTTTCGACAGTCAAGGTACGACCATTGACTGCTTCCCTAACCAGATAACAACCCTAGGTACGACCGTAGGAATTTAATTATCCAATTGCATTAAAGCTAGAAGAACCCAACCCTAACCAATAAACACGCTAAGATGGTTTATTTAAATTAGATCTTGCGTTTCCCCATCATAAAGCCAATTATGGTGGTCGCCACGGGGTGTCAATTAAATGAACAATTACGGATTCTATTTAATTAACGTGGCAGTAGGATATTAAATTAAATCAAATACCCCGCCGCTGATATTCAATTAATCAAATACCCATGAACAATTAATTCAGGAAACACACGAATAGCAATAAATTGGGAAAAATAATAAAGATTCGATTAGATCTCACAGATATTATGGACCGCGCCCTTGCGTCACCCTTTGGATAGAGGAGGAAATTAGCGCTCCTCATCGTGTCAATCCCGCGTAAATTAATTGAATACATTCAATTGATTGCCGAAGAATTGGAAAAGCGCAAGAGTAATCTGACGGAATTTTGAAGAGTCAAAAGCAAAAAGTAAAAAGGGTCTCCGTTCTACGGAGCCCAGATGCAATCCGCGAGAATCTCTAATGTCTGGCCGCTAGCCGCTTGCCGCAGGCGGAACAAAAGTCAAGAGAAAAGAGCAGGAGCAAGCGTCTGACAAGGAGCAGAAAAGGAGAATAAAAGCTAAGCCTAAAAAGTTGATGATCCATCTTGCTTTGTCCTTTTTCTCTTTATAGCCGCCGCAATTCCAAGGAGTCCAAAAGCCAAGAAACGTCTGGTGCAAATCAATCTGCAAAAGCCATTTCCCCCTTTGAGTTTTGATCCCATGCGCCTGGTCCACATGGACCACGGTCCGTCTTTCGGTTTCGTCCACCTTTCAAGGCGTGGTCACGCTCTGGGACGACAAGTCTTTTGGAAATTTTTCCCCGCGATATCTTTTTAATGCTAACCACCTACAATTCACGCAAATGTCAAATATGAGTGAAATCCCCTTTCTTAGCACCATGAATAGCCAAAATTAGGACAAGATGACAGTGCAAAACGTGCCAAATAACGGCTCTATCACGCAACCAACCCTTAAGTGTCTGCGTCACCTTCATCGGATAGTTTCTCGCCTCCTAAAGTCACGGTACTGCATCTGCAAATCGTTTGCCGATCGACACCAGGTACCCGCTCATCCTCCTAAGTTATTCATTTGTAGCATGCTTTGCTTGTTTGTCAACGTTTTACATATAAGTCGTCTTCACAACTGTGGTCTGTATTCCTATCGCTCAACGGTTTCGTTTCTTTAATATTTGCCCATGCCACACTTACATGCATGTGTTGTTCGAAAGGGTTTCCGATGAATGATTTACCATTTGCGTTTTGTATTCGGTGTTGACCAGAAATCACCATTTTTGCATTCGCGCAGGTTCAGTTTCCTCCGACGACTGGGTCCACACAACTGCGGTGCAACAGTGTGTACGGTGGGGGAAAAACAATACGGTTTTTGTCAAAATTTGCCCTACAGTTCAACTATTGCAGTTGTGCTTTCCCCACTCCCCCGCATCATGCAATGCGTTTGACTGTTATATTTTTTCTGTCTTAATTTTGGTTAACTTATGCGCATAACAGAAACATAACTGTTTCATATGGTATTCCAAAGTATTGAGGTTCTTCCGATTTGGAAACCATTCTACTAAATTGTGAAGGCTAGAAAATGACTACGACGCTGTATAACTTGCACAATATTTTCTAACTTTACGTCATGCAAGCCAAGAAATTAGCCTGTTATACACATGCATGCGAAAATTTTGATATTACACCTCACCGGTCATCATTTGGTTTGATAAGAAAGCAGCGGGTGGTAAATGTTCACATTATCTCTTGACATTTCGGGGATTGTCTGCAGGCAGCAAAAGGAGGCAACCACAAATGGCCAACGCCCAGAATTTGCAGACGAAAATCTCCTTCGCCTCCCTTCCCAGAGAGCTGGTATCCGAGGTTCTTGCACGCGTCGCAGCTTATTCATCAACTGATCTTTTCCGGACAAAGCTATGGTACATTCAGCTATTCAAGATACAAACTTGCGGCATTTAGTAATTTGTACATGTCACTCTGTTTTGCGTTTGTTCTTTCCTGATTTTTATCTTTTAGTTGCAAGAGGTTTGCGGATGTTGCGGAAGATAACCGTGTTTATCAACGTGTGTCGCTGGCAAAGTTTGACATCGTTCCATGGCGTAAAAATCCTAAAGTTTCAATGTTCGTGAAGAAGTGTAGATGATGCAAAAATCCTGAAGCATTGTATCGAAAAGGGGTGGTAAGCATCTGGTTTCCTGCACATTTTGAACATCAAACTACTTTTTCTATTCACGCTACGAATGAAGAATTTAGTGTGGGACATTAGAATTGGAGGTCACCATTAGGACAATTTCAGTGTGTTTGCAGCGTAATAACTAGAAACAAAATAGTTGGTTGACTGATTGTCACCAGAGAAATGAAATAGTGTATGCAAATGTAATTAGGGGAAACGGAGCAGCAGACGGTGTACATTCGGTAAATTGGGTATATGAATTCGGTAAATTCAGTTATTAGACTTATATAAATTTAAATCGATTTCAAAATCCAATTGGAGATATCCGAAATCATTGAATTCTGAATTTGAATTCGAAAATGATAATGTATTCGGGTTAACCGAATTCATTTAATATGAAAAAAATTGCTGAATCCTTAAATTGCAGTTTGCAGCGTAATTAAAATAATAAGTAGTATAGTTATACTAAATATAGTTATGTATTATACCTATAATTATTAATTATTATGTATTTGTACTCATGTGTAAAATAATATGTATTATAAAATGTTATGTATTTTTCTAAATTTGTGTATTATTATAGTCATGTAACAATTAACAAATATGAAAATAATATATTCTATATTATTATATATTATTATTATCATAAGTACATCATAATACCCATATACTAACTATTATTAATACCATTTATGTATATAATATAAGAATATATTACTAATATATAGTAATAGTAAACCAATTGTTTAAAAATGAATTTGAAATCGGTTATTAACAAATTCTTAATTTCATTACATATTTCATACCATATTAAAATTCGGTGAATTCGGTAAATACCGTTTTGGTACCAAATGACCAAATACCCGGTTTTAAATTACCAAATTAAATTTTTTTTGTGCTATGAATTCGGTATGAACCGAATTTTGGTCACCCCTACACGTCGTACCGAAGGGAAATACAAAGAACCAACCGTGCACGAACACTACCACTGCCCTTTTGTTGCTAAAAACCCTTAGTCGTATGCCATAATTGGTAACTGTGGGAATTCAGGTTGGGTTGTGCTGAACAGTTTTCTTAACCTTATGTGCTGTCTAATGTTCCCCATGCAGTTATTAATTGTCATTGTCTGCTACATATTTTAATCAGTTTGACGTAACAGTGTTCTTTCAACCTTGAACTCCATAGGTTAATTATTTTAGAGGTAAGAATGTTGAATCAGCATTGCAACGCGTCGAAGAAGCTGCAAAAGCAGGCCATGACGAAGCTGCCTATGCGTTGGCAGTTATTTTCGTCTTTGGTGGGGAGGAATTAAAGCACAAAGGTATGGCTATGCTTAGCGGCATGAAGAAATCAGCAGCTCAGAGACAGAGAGTTAAAGAATGGCGCGACAATTTGCGAAGGATTCTGAAGATGATTTGGGTTCAAAATTCTTTGGTTCTAGGCAAAAGGCCCATTTGTTGTGCCAGCCAACATAAGAGGAAAACAGGTTGGGGTCCGAATGAACTTGATGCAGTGGAGAGTACATGTGAAGGCTGCACTTGCGATGAAAAAATTGGACCAATTTGTGATGCCTTACCTCAAATTGCTGTGTAAGTGTGAATGTGTGGACATGCAATGTAGACACATTTTTTTAGCGAACAACATTTTACTATCTTTGCAAAAATTAATTAACCGTTTCATTTTAGTGTTCGTATATAAATGCTGACAATGTAATTAGGTACTTTAGCCCGTATCTAACGTGTTGGTATATAAATGCTCACTTATGCCTAAACGACGAGCTTTTCATTGCCTTCGTCCATCATAACCTTTTGTGGCTCTGAACCTTTTAGACTTTCGTCTAAAATATCTCCATTTCTTTGTCAACGATTTTCTTGGAAATTTCTTCTATGTTTTGGTAAAGCTTTTAAACTTGTTGAATCTTCTGAATCCTTTCTTTCTTCTGGATGGAGTACAAGCATGATATTTACCTTTCATTATCAATTCTGGCTTTTTGCAAGCTTGGTCTAGACAAACATCTCCTTCACATATTCTCGAATAACCTTTCGTTTATGACAAAGGTCATCAAGAGATAGGAATACTGCTTGTTTGATTTGACCTATAGTGACACTCAATATTCATCCATATTTATTATGGATATACATTTCTGCACTATCTGCAAGTGGCTTTGGAAGAGACCCTTCTGCGTAAATGCAAATTTACTTTTGAGATTTACAAATAATTTACCCGTCGTTCATTTATAGGTCACCAGTTGTGTATGGTTTGCCTCCATTACAGCCACATAGTACCCTATGTGGCTGCGAAACAGATGTATTGATCGGATAAAATGCAAATAAAGCCGGTGACCATAAAAAGCCAGCTATTTATGGCTTTTGTCCATTAAGCTGACACACTACTTTTGCCTCCAATATAAAGCTAATTACCGGATCAATTGTAGTTCAATCCGTTGCTGAATAAAGGAGCAGCAGGTTAGGGCTTGTCATTATACAGTCAACAGTAGCCGATTGTGCCTTAAATAATCATTTTATTCATCAGATAACATAAAAATTAACCCGTTATGAACAAAATAACCCATCTTTTCAGAGCTTTCGTCCGTGACAACAACATACAACCATATCTCCTTGAATATGAATTTCTGGAATGTAAAACTTATTGTGCTAAACCGGTTTTGCAATATAAATAAACGACGTGTGTGGGTGTGCTACGTCATCACAACAGTGTACCAGATTTTCCGTACCGAAGTAAGTCAATTAGCGTACACAAATTGGAACTAAAAATTCAACTTGTTATTTTCCACAATTGAGAACGAAAGGGTGGCCATTTTTTAGTGATGTACATATTCGCATATGGGACAAAACGACGTTCGAAAAAAAAAAGGAGTTTTACGAATAAATCACCAGCTCTATACATCCTTCATCCTGCACAACAGGTTTCAAGGTCCGTTGTTTTGAAAAAAACAACACAGAGCGGTGGAAGCAGAACAAAAATCGGTGTTTTCCAATAAAGCACCGGCACATTTATAGCTTTCTTTCCACTGCCAAAAAATTGTGCAGATTTTTTTGACAAATGCATATTCACTTCTCCGAAATAATGTTTATCAAAAAATTCTTTTCTCCAATAAAACACCAGCTGCTTATGACTAGCCTGCATTATAAGAAACCGGCGAACTGAATATCGAAGCCACAAAGCACCATAAATTTTTTGAAAATCGGGCAAAGCACCATTTTTGGTTGGACAGAAAAATGGAAGCAGCACCGCATTTAAGGCATTCCCCCACACTTGCAATAGTTTTTCATATTGAGTGGCCATTACAACTAAACACTGCCAATTACCAGCTTTGCTGCACGAACTCCACCATTTACCATAACATACCTTACCTGATCTTTATGCTACTCATGCAACATATTGCACAAACCACCCGCTCCTTAGCGGTGATTTACTTGTACATATTTAGCGGCCGTTACCTGTATAAACCACCCACTTACCTTTCATGAATATCGGATACGCACGCCTAACAGTTCAAAAAAAGTCACAGATAAGAAGAAATACAATGACACATAAGGTGACATTTACATAGTAATGCAATTCCAATTCAAAATATAGATATGTTTTGCCAACATTATAATCACCAATACTACGGCGAACACATTCAACCCTGCCGCTTAAGGTCAGGCATTTGCGCTGAAACCAGACGCAGAACTACCACTTTTACACATTGTCTCCAAATACATTGACCACACAGTGCCTGTAAGATATAAGAACCACAAAATTACTAGACCCCCTACATACATTCCCAGGTAAACCAAAATGCGGCCATTCATATTGGTGGCTCGGGAAGTGCAACACGAAGAAGATGATTGAACCCCGGGACGCCGCGCAGCACCACCTCCCTCATTGCTGCGTTGCATTCTGACAGAAACATGTTGACGGCTATCTTCAACCGCTCCTGGCTGGACATCAACTGCGTTGACAACAATACTGTGTTACCGTTTATAAAAGGCAGCCTATGAGACATTTGTATAAGGCGCAATTATTGTTGGGTGAAACCTGAAAATCCAATCCCGGGCGAAGCTCATAAATGTGCTCCATGAACTTCATCACGTATAGTCCGCAGTCAAACCTGAAACAGAGTAAGGAATGGGTTAGGGATGTTGGACTGAGAAAGGATATGAAGTATAAGGATAGAGCCGTAACGTGTTGGTTTGCCGAGGGCACCACGATGCACTTTCAAGGGGAAACTGGCATATGTTCTGCTTGTATCGTGGTCCAAAACCAAACAACAGAGCCTCATGAATTCTGTACACCTACATGGAGTCAAACCAACAAAAAGGGATTACCATCTTATCTGCTGCCTTATAAACAAACATGTATACAGATTACATTAGTTGGACAAACACAGGACTTATGTTGTCAGACAAAAGTAGGCCCGTATAGTTTCCATGACACTGAAGAGGTACACGTAAATGTGAAACAATACTACTTTGTGATGGGTGAGTGGATGACTGCTGACAAACTAACCACTACTCTTGTAATCGCCTCACGCCCAGCAGTTTGTTGTTCATCCGGCAAACTGTCGTCTATAAACAGTTTCGAGGCGGTCATGTCTATGATGCACAGGAATCAATGCTCACAACGATGGTTCATTGGGACACAAATCTGCAGCAACAAACAAAACATGTCCTGATTACACCATGCACACAAATTGCATGCGGAAAAGTCTCAAGTCTGCTGTAACTCAACAACCATCCAACAAACACAACAAATGGCATACGCATACCTTCCTGCAGGCATACACAGGTCCGCCAAACGAGGCGTTCGTCAGGTAGTCAGTGTACACTGTCTCGGCAGCCACATTGGTCGACAAAATCAGGTGCTATTCAGCGCAACAAATTCTCAGTAAATGATACGCACACATGCATAATATGCACACGTGAAGCCTGACTTCGTCCACCCGTACGTGGACAACAATTGAGTGCGCAAATGAATGTGTTGGGGAAGGATTACTTGGGTGTAACGGAAGTTGAAGACGAACATCAACTTCGTGGTAAAGTAAACCGAAAATTTTTTAATGCATATATTCAAGACTTGCGGTCCGTATAACCAAACTTATGGTAACACAGCCCAAAAATCGGCATATGCGTACCTAAACAACCGCAGGGAGAAACCATGTTGCTGCCGTGGCAAATGGGTTGAGTCGCCGAAATCGACAAGTTAGCCAAGCAGCATAACAGTTGATGACCCGAAGCACAGCAGTAGTGATATAATTTAGATTTTTAGTAAAATGCAGACGTAGTGGGTGCAATTTATTCGAAGCACCGAAGTGCTTGTAATCACCGTGATACCTCCGAACTTATCCAAATTCCAGGAGAAAGACTCATTAGATGCTCTCGACATGCAATCTGACCCAACATGAGGAGCAGCGTTTCACTGCATCTTACAATGCGAACCCGTGAGCATGTGTATGTATGAAAACAACGGTATATCAAAAAAATAATAGTACCTTTGCATATGCCGGTTGTGGAAGATGAAGTCAACAACTTGGACAAATGTGTGAAGTGGTAAGTATCCGCAGTCCACTCCATTGTTGTCCTACCATTGGATCGCCACATGACAGCGTTGGAGACGAGAACAAGTAAGACAGGGGTTACTGTAAAGCATTTAGTCGACAAACAAATGTACACATACAAATACCCATCACTCACTCCTGCGTTGAATATTTGGTTAAGCGCTGAAGTGTCTGGTTGCGAGGGTGGACTCACGCCACGAAACTTACCCTACACATTATGAAGCTATTAGCAAAATGAACGTCATTTGTCACACAGACAACTGCTTGCACATCATACTTATGCTTTACACCGAGGGGGATAAGGAATTTGGATACATGTCAAGGACACTAACGTAAGCACGCACAGGACACTATACAACAGCCACCTTTTGTCGACGCCGCGCTGATGTCTGTAGCTTGCCTTTCAGCTTGCAGCTTGCTGACCTTTTCAAACCTTTACACTTCTTCATTACACCGGGCCCAAGTTTTTTTGATGCTGTGGACGACATTTGAGAGTTCTCCCTCGACGCAATAGGAACCAGGGGAATTGCATCACTTGGTGCAGCTGATGAGGGCCACAGTGCTTTCATGCACCGAGGTTTCTTACGTCTGCTCACCTGCACATTAGTATCTTTTATCGGGGTGGTTACATCATTTGATTGGCCACTGTCGGAATCCCGAATGTGTAAAGGGTTCAGCCTATGTCCAGAGTCCTGCACATCTGCATACTAAGGTTGGTATCCGCCACCGGACGACGACACCTGAACAACCGAACTCGCCTTCATTTTGGCCAGATTCGCATCTCGGTTGGCACGCCCGCGGCTGGTGTCGGCACCCTTTGGTGGGAGGAGGTGCGCATCATCTCTGCGTCGACCCAGAACTGTAGTGTGGTCATCTGCTACACAAGTCCTTTCGTCCCCTCTCACTAATGCTTCCCTCACCAAATCCAACGACCGCCCCATGCTGCTCATCGTTTCCCTTACAGCTATTAGGTGCGCTTTCAACTCGTCGTTGCTTTTCTCAAGAAGACTGAGTCTACGGTCAACTGACG